TGGGGATTCTTGTTGCTGATCGCAAGTTCTTTGGAGAAATTGGAAGCCTTGATGGCGGAATGAAAATTTACGGTGGTGAAAATGTGGAGCTCGGCATCCGGGTGAGATTTTCAGGACGCTTGTCATATGCATTGTTACATAAGTATGAAAAACACACATGTGGGACTGATTTTTCCTTATGTTCTCTCGATAAGTTAGTTGGTTAGGTTGCTGCCTTCAATGAAAAATTTTTAATGAAATGAAACTTTTAAATTTATTTTTAGGATTGTTCCATTTTTAAAACATTTTCCCCCATTAAAAAATAGAGACAACCAACCCCTTGATGGGGGTGGTTGTCACAAGTGCACATATATAGGCTATTTGACAGTCTGTATCTTATAAACAGAATAAGCTGAAGGAGAATAAGGTCACTCCATTCCTTAATGACATTTTAAGCTTCAGTTATATGTTGAAAGAGAATCTATTTAGGATACAGTTTTTGAGGGATTCAAATGAAAGTAAAACGTGTGATGACCAACCCTGTTCTTTCCTACTTTGTGGATTGTGCTCATTAGTGAATGTTAGCATGCTAGCAGGCTAAAATAAGATGGTGAGCAAAACCTGCTTCTCATGTTAGCTTTGCCATTGGTTGCATGTTAGCACCCTGAGATTAGCATTTAGCTCAAAGAAGACCCCTTACAAAGAGATGCTAGCAGGACTGTAAACGCTTTTTAGGTCCTGATCTTTTTTGTGTAGCTCTTTGTCCTCTTGGTGTTTGCATGGATTTCTTCGAACAATCTGTCATACATGGTCGTCAGAGGATCTATGATGACACAGTGTTACTGTCTGTGAACTGTTGCTGGTGATTTTGTCCAGGATGTTTACCTGCCCTTTATCCTTATCCTATCCCTGCAGGCATAAGACACAATATGGGTTTGTTTGGCTGTAGTGTGCAGTGTGCATGTTGTTTTGAACTCCCTGTCTCAAAAGGTTGTTCTCTGTACAGTATGTTTCCTTTTTAGGTTGGTATCTGCGAGAAATAAGCTAACAGTAAATACGCTTTAATCATATAGTGTGCTGAATCCCTGAAAAATCTATCTTTTTAAATATCCGACCTTTGTGTTTTGGCAGGTGTGGCTGTGTGGAGGAAGCATAGAAGTTATACCTTGCTCGAAAATTGCGCACATTGAACGGGCCAGAAAGCCTTACCTCCCAGATTTGAGTGAAATGGTGAAGCGTAATGCACTGAGGGTGGCGGAGGTGTGGCTGGATGAATATAAATACAATGTCAACATTGCTTGGAACGTTCCCATAGAGGTAAGGCATGATGACACCTGATCAATCAGATATATTACAACTTGTTTTATCTAAAAAGATAAGGGTTCATAAAATAGTGTTCTGAAGAATAAAATGAATAGTGCAATCTAAATTTAATTTTGTGGCCTTTGTATCCTGTTTTTTTCTCCCACAGAATCATGGGATAGACATTGGGGATGTGTCAGAGAGGAAGAAGCTGAGAGAGAGGCTGAACTGTAAACCCTTTAAGTGGTATCTGGATAATGTTTACCCCATGCTGGACCCTCTGCAAGACCTGCAAGGTTATGGAGCGGTGAGTAGATATGGATCAGATATGACCACATTTTAAGTCTTAATTAGCAAGTGTCACAGTCATTCTTTATTGAGGTTTAATTCAATATTTTTTAATTATCATATTGATTCTCTTTGAATCACCCAAGTCAAAGGTTATCTAATAGCAGTAAGTCAGTTGAATTTGGCAAGATTGTCATGTAAACTGATGGTTCCTGACCTTTTGGCTTCCTGAACCAAACAATGTCTAATTATCACTAGTGATGTTACATCTGATACTGCAGTCCTGAGGCCTGTGTCGTGTGCAAAGGGGGCTTGTCCAAATGAAGCCCGTGTTGAAGCCCATATCGTTTTTCAATATATCACGTGACCAAAGACAAACAAGGTCCCGTTTATCTGGAATTACGTGACTGCCTCGTTGTGTGATTCAAGTCGGGAAATACAGCAAATGTTCTGAGTACTCCTAAATGAGCTGTTAAACGGGGCTTCGTGTGATCGGCCTTTTGGCAACGCAATCGGCCTGAAAGATTCAACACATTCACGGGGCTTCATCACACCATCACTACTCATCACCCATCGTCAGCAGTCGCACACGTCTGTTGGCTATGATCAAGATTATTTTTGATTGTTATTTTTGTTGTTGTTTGATTTTGAATAGATTTTAAAGACCTAAAAAAATATCCAAGAATTCACAAACAGAAAAGAAAAGAAAGATACAAGAAAATCTGAAAAATAAAGTTTTATGCCTTTGCGCTGACATTGCTGTGGCCAGGGGCGTTGTGTTTTTTGGGTTGTCTATCCCATTCTTATGAACACAATAAGGACGCCTAAATTTCCTCAAATTTGGCACAAACGTCGACTTGGACTCAACAATGAACCGATTAGAATTTGGCAGTCAAATGTCACTATGACCTTGCCTTCATCTCATTCTCTTGAACACAATATTTCAAGATTGCCCTGAGGAGATTTCCTCAGATTTGGCACAAACGTCCACTTGGACTCAACAATGAACTGATTAGAATTTGGTGGTCAAATGTCAAGGTCACTGTAGCCTAAAAAAGAAAGCATGTTTGCATGCTTTTGGCCATAACTCAAGAATTCATACGCTGATTATGGCAACATTTCACACAAATGCCTAATAGGATAAAATGATGAAGTGATAAACTTTTACATACAAAAGGTCAAAGGTCAGCTTCACTCTGACATAGTGATGTTCTGCAAAAATCCTTTTCTGGCCATTATTCAAAAGCTTAACTCTGGAACAGAAGGGGAGACATTTGGTCAGTTATTGAGTTGGTGACAGTAATCTTGGGTACAGCTGCTGATTGTACAGATGTTCTGAGGTGCCAGGTTGAAGATTTGTGTGAGGCATTTTAAAATAAGCAGCAACGTCCATATTTGAAGCATTGTCCCTGCCTAATGAATTATTTATACCTGTCTGAGGATTACAGGATTTGTTGACACAGAAAAGGGAAGTGGATTCTGGGCTAAAACCTCATTAGATATATCACTAGATGTTTATGTTATTTATGCTGTGCTACTATTTCTAATTGATGCTTTCATTGGTTACTTTCTATTTCTGCTTCTCTTAACAGCTGATTAATGATCTGAAGCCAGACCTCTGCATTGACCAAGGCCCACAGCCTGGAAACACACCCATTATATATGGATGTCACACCTTCTCACCTCAGGTATGTTCAGGGTCGGGCTGTCACCTTCTGGTCTGTTGGTTGTTTGGTTGATCTCTGCACTCCGTCTGACCAAATTCTCACTAGTCAGACATTTGTTGGTGTTACTTTAATGAGGCTGTGTGTCCACCAAGGCGTTTCTTATCCTATCTGAAAACAGCAGTTGTTCAGCACTTGTAGATGTCCTCTATGATGGCTGGTCTTTGTGGTATTTGTCCCAACCCTTTTCCACTGTAATTAGATGGCTGGTGACAGTGACAAGTTCAGCAATTTTAACATTTTTTGACTCTTATTTTTAATCGGGAAACGGATAAATAATCACAGAAGACATTCAATGTCAGATTTATCACTATGGATTTATTTTACTAAGTCTCCATACAGACACCGCAGTTCAAGGCTGGATTAGAAAGCTTCTGAAAGGGATATGATCACAGCGGAGCCCTTGTTGGAGCAGCAGGGTAGCTAACATTAGCTTCTGGGCTGATAATAGCAAGTCTCTCTCTCTCTCACATGCAGCATTACAGAGATATTTAACGTTAGGAAAGTTATGTTGTGCGTGACAAACTTATTTTTTTCTTGAGGCATTCCACTTGCCTGAAGTTTAATTGCCCTGGACAAGTGTAAATGTCAAGCCCTGTGACAGGAAAAAAAATGCTATGGTGGAAAACAGCGCTACCAGGCAGAGTGCGCTCAGTGCACTGTGGCTGATTTAGTTCATCTAGAAATAATGATAATAATGTTTTTTTTTTCCTCCATCAATCAATCGACTGGTTAAAGAGTAGGTAGAATTTCAGTCGAACAATTGTTTCTTTAGATTATTATTGCCCTATTTCATGGATTCACTGCATGCACACTGACTGTTAATTTGTTTGTGCATACTTATTGTTCTTCTGTGTGTAGCACTGTTTTTATCGCACTGACGGACAACTCTACATCGGCGGAATCAAATCTCACAAGTACAACAGCAACCGCTGCCTGGTGGATTCCGGCACTATCTACCCTGGACTGTACGAGTGCAAAGCGGCCCAGCAGAAGAAGTTCCACATGCTGTGGGATTTTAAACAGGTACATATTACACTTCTGAAATATAAATCTGATCTGTTTGGAGGAAAAGAAATGTGTCTCATTGTGTGTGTTGTGTTTTCTTTCCAGGACGGACCAATCCAGAACAGAGAAACAAAGAGGTGCTTGGAAATTGCGCAGGGTGAAGACAGCTATTACAAACTGGTTGTTGGGCAGTGTAGTGGTCAGCGCTGGAAGATACAACATCTCATCAAAGACCACTAACAGATTGGTGGGCAGGTCCCAGAAGGCAACATGATTAATGAGCCATTGTTGCACAAAAACTGCACCTTGGAGAAAGATCTGGAACAACTGTGTGTCTCTGGAGTTTACATTTTGCACCAGATGACTTGGATCCACAAGAGTCGGACTGTGCACAAGCAAAGTTGTAAACATTTTTTATTTAACTACTGTTTTTGCCTCTTATTGTTTTGACAAATTTTACTTGATGATTTACTTGTGTGACACAATATGAACTACACTTGAGTAATGATTTTTTTAGGTTGGTTTTGAATAGAAAATGTCCTCATGAACATTTACTAGTGCAGTTTTTCTGTATGAAAATCCTTTTAATGACGACAACAGATTGGTTGTGGACAGCTTTGAATACAATATCAATAATGATACAGTAGCTGCATTTAAGTTGAACTGTTTAAATAAAGGCTAGTAAATGTTTGCTTTAGTTAAGCGCTTTTATAACATTCAAGTCAAACAGGATCTGTTGTGGTTCAGTTGTGATGAATGATTTAAAATGAAGTCGTCCCATTTGTTCTGCCACATGACCTGACACGTGTCCTTCAGATGAGCTGGCAGGGAGCTGTACCTGCAGGCAGAAGAAACTGTTCATGAGAAGGAATTCATTTAACTGTGAAATGATATTATAGGAAAGGCTGCTGGCTAAAAATATCCAAGTTTTCAGCTCTAATCTAGACATTCTGTTATCAAATATGGACATTGTGTAAAGTTAATTAGATTTTGGATGTCACTGTTCAGGGACCAGTTTCATGAAAGCATTTTGAGTGCACTGCTTTCACACATGTCACAACTGATTGTTGCATTTTGCAGAGATTTGAGAGTCTAACAGGGCTTCATTGTGTTAAAATAAAGACGTTTTAAAAATAAGTCGAGAAGAAATTATCCAATGTTTCGAATTACAGCTCGCATGTTGTAAATTTGATGAAATGTGCCGCAGAAGGAAGATCCTAAAACCCCAGATGTCACTGAGATACTACCAGGAGAAGATTTCAGCTGAGACACAGCTCTGCACCAGGTTTGTGTTTCAGTGTCTTGCAAGTTTCAGGTATCTGTTTTTATACTGCGGTGAAATTAAAGGTACACTATGTAGGATTTTCCTTCAAAACAATAACTCATACAAAGCTCTTAGAATCATCACTTGACCCACTAGAAGCGTGTGGTGGTGTATTTATCTGCAGAGACTCTGCCCTTGTGGACACAGTGCAGAAAAAACGCTAATATAGCAGTAGGGTGAATCTGGGGTTGGCTTTCACTTTTGCTGGCGATATCCTTTACACACCGTTACCAACAATTCCTGCATAGTTTACCTTTAAAGGGTAAGTCCAGTGATATTTTAGATTTTTGTTATCATCAACAAATCCCACAAAAGACCAAAACAAAAGAAATGTTAAGGCTCGGACACATTTTCCTCACTGAACGTCTGTGAACTGCTGCAGACTTGTTTTGGCAGCAAAGACGCACACACTGTTCCATCATACTACAATTGAGAGGCCACATTGGTCTGGAATTCCACACATGCACATTTCCTGATCCATAGTCCAATCCAGTTGGTAATGGTAATGTGCCATAATGTTGTTTACCAACCGCCTTAAAAATTAGAAAAGAAGAAGCAGCATGTGCGTTAGGAAAGAAAATAGCAAGCCCAAGACAGCAAGACGAGCTCCTGTGTTTGTTGTTTTCAACGTCATTTGATTGCCTTTGTATTCTTTTAAAGACAAACTATATAAATGTAGGTGATGGCAGATCTCCTAGCGCAACTTCTCTTCAAAATAAGCATTCATTTTGTTTTCTTCGTCTTGGCAAACCAGCTAGCTGTGCATACGCCGCCCACTGGACTGGAGTGTGGAACGAGATTATCTTACTATATAATGACGAAAACTCTGTCTGTCTGTGTCTGTGTGTCTGTTCCACGTTTGTCTCCTCACTGACTTGGTCAATCCATGTGAAATTTGGCACAGTGGTAGAGGGTCATGGGAGGATGCTAATGAAGCAATATTACATCAATTGGCCAAAGAAGGGCGCTATAGCAACCGACTGAAATTGCAACCTTTGAATGGGCATATCTCATGCCCCGTATGTCGTAGAGACATGAAACTTTGCAGAGATGCCTCTCCTCATGAGAAAGAAATTTGCCTCAAGAACCCATAACTTCGGCTTATATAGATTTTCTGCCATTTTGAATTTTTTGAAAAACACTTCAAATCGATCTCTTCCTAGGAAGTTTGACCGATCTGCATGAAACTCGGTGAACATAATCTAGGGACCAATATCTAAAGTTCCCTCTTGGCAAAAGTTGGAAAACTGAGCTTCTATAAGGCAATGAATATTGCGGAGGGCGTGGCTCATCACATAAAGGTGTATAACATCTCAAGGGTTTCACCCATCACCACGCAACTTTGTAGACATATGACCACACATAATCTGAGGGGACCTCTCCATTATTGACCCCATCAAACAAAATGGGGGCGCTACAGAGCTAATTTCGTATCTAGGCCTAACCGCCATATCGATTTTTACTAAACGTGGTAGATATGTAGAACAGGACGCCTCAAGGTGACTGGAGAAATTTAACACTAATTGGCAACTGGGTGGCGCTATAACAACAGAAAAATGCTTAAAAATGGCTAAAATGCGACCGATCGCCGTGGCTCCCCCTGTGGACCAATGTTTTTTTTTTTTCTTCTTTGGTATGACTAAGTCATGGTATGGTATGCTGTACATAATCACGGAAACTGTCAGTCAGTCATTCTGTCTGTCCCACTCGTTTTTCTACTCACTGACGTGGTCAATCTATGTGAAACTGCACATAGGCATTGAGGATTGGCATGGTAGAAGGTGACAAAGCTACCAATGGGTATGGACTAGTATTTTGTAACTCGAGAATGTGGAGTCGGCCCTCGCGGACATCCTACTCGGCTAAATAAAACACGTCAATTTTAAAGAGGTGCAAAATTATTTCCTAAAGTACCAGGGCACTGCAGTTTTTAGCAAATGTCATTCAAACAGAAGAAGATTTAGATGTTGATCTTCCGTACAGTCAGTTCTACAGATGTAACTTTGGCCAGTTTTCAATTAGGTACAGAGGTCCAGTTTTATGAAACAACGGGATATGGTACTGTTGTAATTCTTGTTTTTATTTATTTCATTTTGGGGGTTTTTATGTGTGGTATTTCCTGTAAGGATATCAAATTGTATTGTATTTCTTTTTTTCTTCCTTGGTGTTTTTGTCTTTAGTATTGTACTCTTTTGCCTTCTCTTTTTTTATTTTTATACAGTACAGGCCAAAAGTTTGGACACACCTTCTCATTCAATGCGTTTTCTTTATTTTCATGACTATTTACATTGTAGATTCTCACTGAAGGCATCAAAACTATGAATGAACACATGTGGAGTTATGTACTTAACAAAAAAAGGTGAAATAACTGAAAACATGTTTTATATTCTAGTTTCTTCAAAATAGCCACCCTTTGCTCTGATTACTGCTTTGCACACTCTTGGCATTCTCTCCATGAGCTTCAAGAGGTAGTCACCTGAAATGGTTTTCCAACAGTCTTGAAGGAGTTCCCAGAGGTGTTTAGCACTTGTTGGCCCCTTTGCCTTCACTCTGCGGTCCAGCTCACCCCAAACCATCTCGATTGGGTTCAGGTCCGGTGACTGTGGAGGCCAGGTCATCTGCCGCAGCACTCCATCACTCTCCTTCTTGGTCAAATAGCCCTTACACAGCCTGGAGGTGTGTTTGGGGTCATTGTCCTGTTGAAAAATAAATGATTGTCCAACTAAACGCCAACCGGATGGGATGGCATGTCGCTGCAGGATGCTGTGGTAGCCATGCTGGTTCAGTGTGCCTTCAATTTTGAATAAATCCCCAACAGTGTCACCAGCAAAACACCCCCACACCATCACACCTCCTCCTCCATGCTTCACAGTGGGAACCAGGCATGTGGAATCCATCCGTTCACCTTTTCTGCATCTCACAAAGACACGGCGGTTGGAACCAAAGATCTCAAATTTGGACTCATCAGACCAAAGCACAGATTTCCACTGGTCTAATGTCCATTCCTTGTGTTTCTTGGCCCAAACAAATCTCTTCTGCTTGTTGCCTCTCCTTAGCAGTGGTTTCCTAGCAGCTATTTGACCATGAAGGCCTGATTGGCGCAGTCTCCTCTTAACAGTTGTTCTAGAGATGGGTCTGCTGCTAGAATTCTGTGTGGCATTCATCTGGTCTCTGATCTGAGCTGCTGTTAACTTGCCATTTCTGAGGCTGGTGACTCGGATGAACTTATCCTCAGAAGCAGAGGTGACTCTTGGTCTTCCTTTCCTGGGTCGGTCCTCATGTGTGCCAGTTTGGTTGTAGCGCTTGATGGTTTTTGCACTCCACTTGGGGACACATTTAAAGTTTTTGCAATTTTCCGGACTGACTGACCTTCATTTCTTAAAGTAATGATGGCCACTCGTTTTTCTTTAGTTAGCTGATTGGTTCTTGCCATAATATGAATTTTAACAGTTGTCCAATAGGGCTGTCGGCTGTGTATTATTGACTTCTGCACAACACAACTGATGGTCCCAACCCCATTGATAAAGCAAGAAATTCCACTAATTAACCCTGATAAGGCACACCTGTGAAGTGGAAACCATTTCAGGTGACTACCTCTTGAAGCTCATGGAGAGAATGCCAAGAGTGTGCAAAGCAGTAATCAGAGCAAAGGGTGGCTATTTTGAAGAAACTAGAATATAAAACATGTTTTCAGTTATTTCACCTTTTTTTGTTAAGTACATAACTCCACATGTGTTCATTCATAGTTTTGATGCCTTCAGTGAGAATCTACAATGTAAATAGTCATGAAAATAAAGAAAACACATTGAATGAGAAGGTGTGTCCAAACTTTTGGCCTGTACTGTATATTTAAAAATATTTGTCTGTTGATAAGTATATACAGCTGTGTTTAATTTCATTGTTTAATTTCAATGTCTGGTGTTTGTTGGGGTACTTTTACAAGCCCTCAGTGATTTTTTCATCCCATCTATACATTTTCTTATGTTAATGATTTTTTCTTTTATCATATGTACAAATAAAGAACTAAAGCTGTGGATTAATATACAGTTGGTTTGGGGTTTTGGGGAATTTACAGCACCGGGACAGTGACTGTGGGATAAAATAACCTACAGTGCCCATGCTCATCATGATGAAGCAACATGTCACTCACACATTTTCATGGACAATATTTCCAAACTTCTACTGACTTCTCATGGGCTCATCATAATTATTTTTTCTTACCCCACTTGCCCAACATTTTTCAGACATATCAGAATCAAACTCTGTTCAAACACAATTCCAGCTAGCTGGCATACAGGAAGGGAGAGACGAACCCAGGGAGGAAATGATGTAATGTGCATGATGGTCAACAAAACGTTGTCACACATCAACACATATTAGAGCTACGTTAAGTTGGTGGCTACAGAGAATTTATTTGCTGTTATGTTACATTACATGGGAGGTTATCCACGAAAGATTAGTGTAACAATCTTATTAGACACAACAAAATTATGTGACTTTTCCAAAACTTTAAATTATTTGACCAATTTTATGACTTTTCCAGGCTTGGAAAATGTGATTGTGAAATTCCAGGACTTTTCCAGGTTTTCCACCACTGTGGGAACCCTTAACAGTGTGGCTCAGTGATGTATTTTTAAATAGTTTTTGGACAAGAGTGGAGCTCTGTGTGATCAATATATTAGGCTCTGGATATACACACGACTTATAAGTAGGATACATTCATTGTTTCATGGGATTTGTTGACAGTAAGAAAAAAAATACAGATTATAATCTTAAAACCTGTGGCTTCCTGAGAAGTTAAGTAATTTGGAAGAAAGGCATGACAGAGATCAAATCAGCAGACTCTCACCTGATGGAGTTCAGAGCCAGCTCTTTCAGAGTGCCCAGGTTTGCTTTTAACCCTCCGATGCCAACAAAGGCTTGATAGAAGTCGTAGGAGAGGCCCGTGGTGCCGAACAGAGACGGGTCATCGGAGCTGATCACCATCGGGTGGCCCTCGGACATCAGCACAGCTGCAGGGTGGTTCCGAAGGTCTGACACCAGCTTCAGCACCTGGAGGTCAGAGGTCAAACACACTGAGGTACTTTATATGTGAAGACAGGCACAGAATGAATCCACATGTCCAGACTTAATCACAAGTTTGCATTCACTCTTCCTCTGCAGCAGCCGCTCCTCTCATCCATCAATCTGATCTGATCAGCTCTACTGTTTATTTAAATAGAGTCTGGTAGGTTTTGTGATGGCAATTTCGGGCTTTTTCTAGTTGCACAAAAAAGATCTCACTCTTTAACATAAAGGTCGACGTCTGTATGAATCCTTTCCATAATGTTGTCAGACACTTAGAATAATATTCTGAGCCAGTCAGTGGCAGAAACTAACACTTTTAGTGGATGTTAATTGACAATGTACAAGTAGCCTGGTTAGACCATCCCGATGATGTAATGTGTTTCAGTGTGGACTCTGTGCTGCCCCTCTGCCTCCTCATATACAGAAATTAAAATCCAATCGGGACCAATCAGGGATTGCCACCATAGTTGACAATGTAAGCAGCCAATCATTACCTGCTCTGTAGCTGATGATGTGAAATGCAGGCCACAGGTGGCAGGACAGTGGTGGCGTCTCCCGAAGCAACAAGTGCTAACTGTAACATCAGTAGTTTAAACACAGCAATATGTGAATTTATTGCAGAAATAAAGTCAATAACAACAATTAAACGAAAACAAGAGAATGAACTCGCAGAGTTTCTTCTGTTCTTCCGACTAGATTTGGCAAAAGCCTGATTTATCATCTGGCTCCAATGGTGATGAAGAAGATGTTTCCCGGTGTTTCGTTATGCTGACTGGCTGAAGGAGTTTGTCTGTCAAGGCGAGTACTCCCACACATTCAAAGCGTTTGGCGTGGCACCGAGTCCAGAGTGATACAGAGAGCAAAACAGAACAGAATGTTGAGCTCACGTCATCAGGATGGTCTTACCAGGCTGATGCACAAGTGCTCTGAGTGGTGACATTGCAGCCCTCGTCGCACTCAACACTGGACCAGTTTTAAAAACTGTTGTTTACCCATTAGTCACTTAGGCACAAAAACAAACAAAAAACAATATGGTATGGAGTCCAGGTTGAAAAACACCTAAGCTACCGTTTAATCCGATCAAATACAATAGACAGAATTTGCAACGGCTAAAAATGTTTGGTTTGTTTATATTCTGCAAAGCTAGACGACCAAAGGTTAGTTTTCTTCTCCATTTTATGTGTAAAGATCCTCAGGTGAGGGTTCAGCTTCACCGCTCATTCTGACTGTAGCTTCTACGTGAAGCAGCAGACTCAATATCAATGTCAATATCATTACCATTAAAAACTTCTCCAAAAAATACCTTAAAATAAGTTACAAGGTCAGAGTTTCCATGGAAATACTGTAGGTCTTAGATCCATAACTCCTCGCAGACTTGATGTGATGACAGTGAACAGTCACAGAACTCAGAGGTGGATGTTTGGATTTTGCAATGTTCTTTTTTTATTGTTCTAGTGACAGTAGGTTGTCCTACCTGGTTTGAGACGGGGCACAGCTCCACAGCTACGTTTCTTTTTCTAGAAAGCTCTTTAGCGAGTGGATGGTGAGCCAAAGCAAAGCCGTGCCCGATGCGTGATGTGTTGAACAGAAGGGCGTCAAGAATATTTTGATCTACGTCTGTGCCTTCATCATCTACAAGCAAACATACACAGTGGAGTCGAAATACATTTAAAAAGATTTGTAAAACTGTTTTGTTATAAATTATGTATTTTGTGCTTTGGGTCCACCCACCTGTTTCCCCTGCGTGAAAGAAGTACGGCAGCGTGACACCCAGATCAGCTGGCAGAGACAGTGCCTCACTGAAGTACCAAAGAGTCCTCCCATCGTCCTCCCTGCCAACCTGCAGTACACAATGTTAGCTCAGGGAGCAGCAAATCAAACTATCACAACAAACATATGATATGATTTCCTCTTAACACAAGCTTGTTGTTTTAGTCAAATAAGAGATTAAACAAGACAAATCACTTCCTACCATGTCGAATCCTGCAACAACGTCTGGGAAGTCCTTCTGCAGCTGAATGGCCTCTTTTACAGCTGATTTGATCTCGGACACACTCAGAGCTCTGGAGAAAGCAGAAACGATAACACTCATGATGACACAAGACTTGTCTGAGTACATCTTTTGCCACAGCAGCTATGCAAATTTTGTCTCTTCAATAGAGCAGGTAATGAGTAATTGTGAGTTCAAGTTAGAGATTCTTTGAACATCAGTACCTGTGCGCAGAAATGATGATACGAGCCCCAAGAAAGTCCGGATGGTCTGCTACAAATTTCTTTGTCACTTCTTGAAAGGTTTTCAGAGCCCAGACCTTATCATGAATGGTTCCATCGAGCTCATATGTCTGAAACACATGAATGAAATGCAGAGGTGTCAGATCAACCATAGTGGCTCCTCGACAGAGGCTGGAGCTGTGGATCGGGTGCGAACAAGCGAAGACAAACCCTCGAGAGGCCGCTCCTCAGTTCCAGGTACATGATGTTGTCATTGAGAAGCTCCTCTAGGCCCCTGTAGAGGTAGTCTCTCAGTACAGGTGCATGGGTGACAAGCCCAGCAGCTGCAATGAAGGCTTTCTCAAACTTCTCCCACACAACCTCCTGGCTCGGGTACTTGCCATCTGGATCCTCAGTGAAAAGTGTGAGGTGCTGCATTAAACTGAAAACATCCCAAAACAAACACTCATCAGCTCAGCTTGTTATATCTTGACTGGTAACTATGGGGTGCCGTTTGTAAAGTGGCTCACACTGAAAATAACATCAACATTTTGCCACATTTAGCTTCAAACAATGTTTAAAAAAGTATTGTGATTTTTTTAACGTCACCTTTTACCACATTTACAGCAATATTTGTTAACTTAGAAATATATTAAATAGTTAAATCTAAATATTAAATGTGGCACCTAAATGTTAAATGTTAAATCTAAATATTAAATCTAAATCTAAATGTTAAATCTAAATGCTAAATCTAAATCTAAATCTAAATGTTAAATCTAAATGCTAAATCTAAATCTAAAGGTTAAATCTAAATGTTCTGGGTGAAACCAAATATTTAGCTAATATGCAAATTCACACTGCCGATCACCGGAAGTACCAAAATAAAAGCTCGAGATGGTCAGACTGTGTTTATAGAATCAAATAACGAATTAAAACCAACTTATCGGGGGAATGAACACCTGAACATACATTAGCGTGATAATAACTACCTAAAATAACAAAAAACATGTTTGGAGAAATTTTATTTGACGTGTACTTTGAGTTGTTAGTGTCCCTTCGGAGGGAATCGCCTTGTTGTTTACAAATAGAAAACCAGCAGAGTTTAGCTACATATATAAATGAATATCTCACATTTTTCACGTCACTATATCACCGTTTAGACTAATCTGATGTTGGTAAAGTCTATAAACACTTGGTACTTCCAGTGACCGGCAGTGTGAATTTGCATATTAGCTAAATATTTAGTTTCACCCAGAACATTTAGATTTAACATTTAACATTTAGATTTAACATTTAGATTTAGATTTAATATTTAGATTTAGATTTAGATTTAGATTTAACATTTAGATTTAGATTTAGATCTAGATTTAATATTTAGGTGCCACATTTAATATTTAGATTTAACATTTAGGTGCCACATTTAATATTTAGATTTAACTATTTAATATATTTCTAAGTTAACAAATATTGCTGTAAATGTGGTAAAAGGTGATGCTAAAAAATTCACAACACTTTTTTAAACATTGTTTGAAGCTACACGTGGCAAAATGTTGATGTTATTTTCAGCATGAGCCACTTTACAAACGGCACCCCACAGGTAACATGTAAGGAACGGTGATGTCTTACTGAACCTGTTATCAAAGCCTGTGGGGTCTCCCACTCTGGCTCTCAGGGTCTCCAGCAGCTGCCAGTAGAAGCAGTCCCACCGAGGGAAGGGCTGGCGGTTGGAGAACAAGAAGCGGACCGAGTTGTCCCAGGTGAAGCAGATGTAGCAGTGAGGCCTGTAGGTGACGTTTTTCACCAGCCAGTCAACACTGACCAGAGACGAGGTGTGGATGTGCAGCGCTGCACCTGTCACCAAAACAGTATGGTATAAACTCAGACCGATGTGCTGAGCTTAGACAGTCACATAAACCTAAGTTACAACAGGGTGCTGTAACCATGGATAGATTATGTGACAACAGGGTCCCCTACCCCTCCGACCTGTTTTGCATCTTGCATTTTTTGTGTCTTTGTAGTTATTTTGTGTCTTTTTGCGGTCATTGTGAATTTGTAGCTTTGCAGTTATTTTGTTTCTGTAGGCTTTTTTGTCTCTTTGAAGTCATTCTTTGTCTGTTGGATTTTTTTTTTCATGTCTCTGTTATGTTTTGCCTCCTTAGAATTGTTTTGTATACCTTTGCAGCCATTTTGCGTCTCTTTTTAGTAATGTATTTTCTCTTTGTTGTTATTTTGTGTGTTTTTGTAGTTCTTTTGTTTGTCTTTGCAGTCAGTTTGTCTCTTAGAAGTCATCCATCTTTTGTAGCCACTGCGTATTTGTAGCTTTGTACGTGTCTTGTGTAGCATTGTAGCTATTTTGTGTCTCATTGTAGTCATGCATCTTGTGTTGTGTAGTTATTTCCCTTTGTAATTATTTTGTATGTGTTTGTAGTTGTTTTGTTTCTCTTTGTAGGCATGCCTTTTCTCTCTATAGTTATTTTGTCTCTTTGTATTCATTTTGAGTCTTGTTTTTATCTATTTTTTCTCTTTGTATTTGTTTTTATTCTCTGTAGTTATTTTGTGTCTCTTTGTAGTTAAGCCTTTTCTCTTTGTAGTTAGTTATTTTATGTCTCTTAGTAGTCATCCATCTTTTGTAGCCATTTGTAGCTTTGTACCTGTCTTGTGTAGCTTTATAGTTATTTCGTGTCTCATGGTAGTCATGCATTTTTGTAATTGTGTATTTGGAGCATTGTAGCTCTTTTGTTTTTTTTTGTTTCTTTGAAGTCGTTTTGTGTCACTTGTTGCTGTGAATCTTTTATTATTGTGCATTTGTAGCATTGTAGCTGTCTTGTGTCGTTTTGTAGTTATTTTATTGTCTCTGTAGTTTCTTCTTTTCAGTCCTTTTGATTCAGTCATTTGAAGTTGTGTATTTGTAGTTTTGCGGCTGTCTTGTGTTGCTTTGAAGTTTTTTGTTTGTTTCTTAAGTTACTTTGTGTCTTGTTATAGCCACGTGTCTGTTAACTTTGTACATTTGTAGTTTTGTAGCTGTCTTATGTGGCTTTTTAGTTATTTCTGACTTTTTCGTAGTCATTTTAGTTCTTTTGTGTAACCTGTAGTTGTTCTGTGTAACTTTAAATATGTTTTGTATCTCTGTATAGTCACGTTTTGGCTGTGTAGACATGCAACTTTGTAGTTTTGAGTCTCTTTGTAGCTGTTGTGTCTATATGTGGTTATTTGATGTCTTCATATCATTTTGCATTTACGTGACATTTTGCAGAACTCTCAGGTGCTCATGTTATTTCAAAAACATTAAGTTCATGCTGGAGATGAAGAGAAACTGACTCCAGAGCTTCCTGCCACAACATATAAGCATGTAAATGAATACAGAATATTACAGGAAATTATAAAATAAAGCCTGAGATGAAAAAAGTTTAATTTTACCATTTATGTATTTTAATGAAATTCTAGCCTCAGTATACTGTTCAGCTATTATATTAAGGAGGCCTGTGTGTGGTAGGCCTTCTTCATCCACCCTTATGACATCACCTTTAGGCATCTTCTGCAGCAGTTTGAAGATGGGACTCTTCTGTATGAGAGGCTTTGCTTTGAAGAAGTGTATAGCCGGGGGGAACTGTTCAGCAGACATCTCTTTCTCCTTTAATCGATGGAGGTAAACGTCCAGCTTCTGCTCGGCCGCCGACAGGGTCACCCGGCCTCCCGTCTGCCTGGACGCCTCCTGACGCATCAGCAGGTCCCTCTGAGCGGGGTCAGGCATCCCATCAGCCACTCTTACAAACCACAGCAGGGGCACGTAAGTGACCACAGCCTGGCAGATTGAGATCACCATGTCCTGATGTGACACAGAGGAGCGCTAGAACATAATCCACAAGAGCAGGTCTGCTCTGATGCTGTAAAGACAGAAATACTCTGTGTAAGACGTACTAATGACCTCAAAGTGCCTCGGACAAGTTTTAGCAGCACAGTGGCTTAATTAACTTGTTTTAGGATCAACAAATTAACAGATAAAGGAGCTGATTCAGTAGCCTGACAATGACCACGCTTTGCTTTCTGAGTTTAAAAATTAGCAGAGAAAAGTGGAGGAAAGTGACAACGAATCTTCAGATCATTAACATAAACTAGGAATACATTTTAAGGCAAATTTATCTACTTTAAACCATAATATACTTACATGTAAGAAGGAGCTCCTGGCGTCCTGTGTCTCAGCTCAGCAGCCTCAGAGAAAAGACTCCGCTGTGAGTCAAGCATGTCAGCAGAATGCTCGGAGCAACTGGATAATTGGAGCATTTTTCTCTGACAAACACCATGTGATAAACTAATGAATGAAGCATGATTGCAAAATAAATATAAAAAAAAAAACTGTACGCCACGCAGCACAGAGGACACCGTTTGAGCCAAGAAGAGTAAGAAGAAGTGATACTAATGATTTATATTTTATTATGTTTAACATTTCCACAATATAACATCTTCAATTTGAGACACCAACAAAAACAAAGAAGAGAACAAAAACAACCACACATACGTATAATTTAATCTGGAAACCTCATATACATACAGTGCACCCTCTGGAATGATATCACCCACTCATTTAATCCATGACAGAATAACACGCATCAATAAATTAACTCAGGTCATGTACAGTCTTCGGTTTTGTCTCTAGGATGGTATTTATTTTCTGTGTAATAGGTTGGAGCAGACATCCATTAGCAACACAATGCCCCAACTTACATGGCGTGGAGTAGAGGTTAATGAAACTGGGGGGGACTGTGACACGGATGCTGTGTTTGTCGTGATCTAATTAAAGGACAACCTGTTAGAACATCCAGCCAATCAGCAGATCCTCATCGTCCCCGACTAATCAGTGTAAACCGAGACCCTCGGAGGGGAGCAGCAGAGTAAACAACTGTGCAGTACCCGTGGTGCACATCTGTAATGTTGAGCTGCAGCATCCATCATGTCCCTTAATGCACAGAAAAAACACAGCGATACATCACACAACAACGATGCGTCTCTTTTGCACCGGAAAAATTCGTTTCACAGACAGAGGAATGACGTCTTTCAAGTGACAAAATAAAAAATAAAAGGAGAGGTTTTTTTTTTTTTTTTTTTTTTTTAAATTCTAATACAGTGGAGCTATTTAGTCCATAAACTTGCGGTTTGGGTTGGCACCGAAGAGAGCCACTCGGATTTCAGGCATCATCTGCAAACAGACACACATGGTTTATAAGTACGGCTGTAAATAACAACTGATCTGCTGGTGAGAAAATAGTAAAACATGCCCCACACAATTTCCTAAAACCTGACGTGACAAATTAAAATTCTTTCTTTGAAGATTTAGTCTCACACAAGACAAAGAAAATGATCAAAACAACTGCTGATTTATCTTTTTTTTTGACTGATTAATCAAAACTGCAGAAATATGAGGAAATTCAAAACATACAAACATTTAGCAGGAGACTAGATTGTTATCTTATTAAAAATGTATAATTTATTTGACTTATTTAACTATGAAGCCTTATTGAGACTAAAAATGGCTTTTTCAACCATCTCCTGAGTCAAAAATGACGATCATAAAGCGGTCAACACAAAATATAACACAAAATTAGATCTGAACAGAATGTGAGTGTAAACTAAATTAAATTACAGATGAGAGCACCCAAGAAACAACCTGACATGGCACCTAAAAATCTGACATTAAATCCATCAACAACAAAATGTATTAACAGTAATCATAGCTTCTGTGTTTATATGATATAAGCTCTGCACACTTGATGCCTTTTTCCAAGTGTAAATAAAGGTTATATGTAAGTAAGATCAATCTAAAAATATACAACAATAAATTAATGAGACTAACGCTCATACTGTACATATCCATAAAACATCTGTCGCTCCATCTTGTGACACGTGGGGTTGTTTTTAGTTCCTTGCACAGAAAACGGAACGTTCAGCTGAAGTGAGAGCTCCGCTAATCTCATTTAGTCAAATGCTTGATAACAGCTGCGCCCGTCTTTTAACCCTATGGGCCCTAGGCGTTTTTGGGTTATTTTTACTGCCTTTACTTTTAAGCTCATATCACAGTCATTATAAAGGCTACATATACATGCTATATCTTGTTTTTTTTTTTCAGGACAGTCTGGGTTAACCACATTTGCCATAATTTCATGTCCTTCTATGTGCCTGTATTTTATATTAATTTTTATATCAATGAAAAAAACAAACATCCGTGTTACTAAATTCTTACATTTTGACATGTATCTCAGCATAGCAAGTTGGAAGTTGACATATTCTGCCATATATGAAGAGGGGAGACTCTCTGGAATCTGGCAATATAAGAACTATGATGGTAGGACATTCTGTCACTTCACAGCTGTCCAAAACATGTGGTTTGTGCCAGGCAGACATGATTGCCAGTATTTTTTCATTATTGCAAGAAATTCCATTGACTCATTCACAAGTCAAAAATGTGTTTTATCTGAAAGAAACATGCAATATTTACATCTTAGATAACAGAAAAATAGTCAACCAAGTGCAATGATGTCCTCCAAGATAATATTTGCCACTTTGTTTGCAGTAAACAAAGTTTGTTGTTGTTCTTCAGTTTCAGTTATATATTGGGGGGGCATATTGGGCATTGGGGGGGGGGATGTCCCCCTCAATAACCATAGGGTTAAAAGGTAATTCAATTTGAGACTGATTAAAGGAATTTATGTATTTATTTGACCTTTCCTTTAAGCAGGAAAGTCTCACTGGAAAACCCCGCTTTTTTTAAGAGTGCTTAAGAATCAGATCAAACAAGTTCGTCATAGGATCAGACCTAAATAAAAAGTGAAAAACTATCAAACGAGAATCTGCAGGAACATCAATGAATAAATCAACATGTATGGACATCAAGACCTTTTAAACATAAGATGAGATGGATAAAAGAGGGGGGGGGGTGGTTAAAAAGAGAACAAAGGCTATAAACTACACAGGAAGAAGTGTTTATGATGCATGTTAAGTCTCAAGGATGAAAAATAGAATCTGAGACTGATAAGACTGATGAGCTGTCTGTGTGTTCCTACCTGCTGAGCCATGAGGTCCAGTCTGCTCTCCAGGGTATTCGCCACCTTGATCTTCCCGTCACCATTATAGATCTCCACACCTCCAGAACTGAAGAAGAGGAAGTTTAAAACGAAAGAAATGACTCATCTCAGAGGTTTTCAGGAGTAATTTTAATGATGATGATCAAATGTGATGCTGCTTACACGTCAGAGGGGATGAAGTTGTCCTGGTCGATGCGGACCTCGATGTTGCTCTTCACAGCTGCTTTATATATGGGAATATTCCTCTGGATGGAGGCCTGAAAGACAACGAGTCACAATACAATTCAAATTCAGATTTAAGCTGATTTTAAAGCAGCTACGTGACTCCATTCCATATGTATTTATATATACACATATTCTTCACCCATATGTGTGTGCAGAATAGTTCTGTGTTTATGTTGTTTTTGACATTAATCGTATTTTTAATTCAAATTCTCTGTGTTTGTACACATATGTCGCCAGTAAAGCTGATTATGATTCTAAAATGGTTGAATATTAACATAGACTTAAACATGCACTAACTAACTTACTCACCTGTACCATCTGGAAGTCCTGCTTACGGCAGCGAATCGTCACTTTGGGCTCCAGAAGCTGATAAAATCCCTGATATGAAAGATTATGAAAGGGTTATTAAACTCCAATCTCAGTATCAACACAGCCTTGTTATAAATATACTTAGTCAGTTTATCAGGAACACCCAACTAAAAATAATAGACGCTACTTAGACTGCACAATACCGATTATAAACAATGTCTCGATATTTTTAGATTCTTTCTAAAATAAGACTGTTTAAATTTAAATTGTATATGGGGGGACCACAGCTCGTATAGCCCGCGTTGGCTTTCCCTCAGTGTTCCTGACTGTAGAGTAGCTGAGCGTATAATCTAACCTGTAAGATCAATCCGTCCATCAGAGCTGGATACTTCGCTGGGTCTTTTGCGACGTTTACGAGCCGCTGGCGGGCCTCATTCAGCATTTCCTGAGAGCACATATACACACAGTGTTCATTTACAGAGAGAATCATTCACGTGATCCATCTCGCCTCTGTACGTAAAATACGACAACATGAGGTACAGCTGCTTACCGAGATCATATCGTCCCGGGATTTCAGCACCTTCAGTCGAGCCTGGTTCATCAGGTTTGACATCTGACTGTAAAGTAGACAAATAACACACACATTGGGTCTGTTTAGACTTCTAAGTGACATTATGTTTGTTTAAAAACTCCTGAGACTGTGTGGGGCATTCACAAAGAGTCATTGTAGGACAAAGAAGTGACTAAATTAAATCTTGGGAACTGTGTGTCACACACACAGATATTTCTTTGTTCTTAAAAAAGGTCTGATTAAGGAAGGGAGGACTTGATGTGTCCTGTGATTTATTTCGACATGACTCACATTTTCTTCTGCTGCTCGATCTGCTTCTCTTTCTTCTCGTAGTACTCCATGATCTTCAGCCTCTGAGTTTGGACCAGACGACCCTTCTCGATGTTGAACTCTTCTTCTGCCTGCAGGAGGAGACACAGTTCACTCAGCAGACGATCCTCTATTCTTAATTGTCTTTACACTGACTCTGCTGCTGGTGACTATAATTAAAGGTCACTTTAAGAGGTTTTATTTATGATACGATTAGCAGACAAATTTTCCCGAAATTTAACAGAATAGATTTTGAATCAATGATGTGTAATTTCAAATATTATGCTGATTGCTTTCAGTGTCATACACCTAGGTCATATTTTGTTTTCTTAAATGTGACATAAAAGACACTAATGGTCAGTATTATTGAAGCCAAAGCACTGATGTCAGTTGTAGGTTAAGGTAAATAAATTGAGGCGTTATCTTATGGATTCAG